TACTACAATAACAATGATCCTAACAGAGTAGCTAACGAGGGACCAGATACCATGGGGATTCACATAAATTAGTTCATCACTCTCCCTGTTCTGGCTACTGTTCACTACATTTGACCTACATGTAGCTGATGCTGGGGGAGAGGAAATGAATTTTCCAAGCCTGTGCAGCAGCCAAGTGCTGGAAACTGAATCCAGACCCCAAATCCTGGGCTCTCAGCTAACGTGTGATGCTACCCCCCCATTCTACTGTAGAAGAATACTGAGAGGCCCAGAGGCCAAAGGGAGGCCAGAGTCGGGATAGCCGCCTTTATCTGTCAGGACAGGGTGTTTGGATCTCTTTCAAAGACGGTTGTGAGATGGCTAGAAGCCAGGAGGTGGTGAGCAGCGTGAGGCCCGCTGAGAAGCCCCACCAGTTTCCTCCTCTGGAAAACAAGGACTTGGGCCAGATAATCTCTAAGCTGCTTTTAATTCCTTCTGTATGCAGTTCATGTCATTCCCTTCCTTATGACTTCTCTAGTATAAAATCCTTCCCTGCTGCCATGGTCTGCCTGGCTCCATAGACTTCACTCTCTGTCTTTTCTCCCTCAATCCCAAAGCTCCAGTCAGGAGTTCCAGGCTCTAAGGATCCTCGTACTCGGGTACTGCATTCATGCAGTTTCCTCCGCCTGCGACATTCTTACAGCAGACCTTGCTTCAGTACATAGCCTCTCTCATAGCCTCTACCCCACCTGTTTTATGTTCCTCATACCCTTGCTTCTGTTGGATAGTAATTAATCAATTAATTTAAGTTTTGCAGTATGGGGATTGAACCCAGGCACATTCTACCCTTGAGCAATACCCTCAGCCCTTTCAATACTTTATTTTGAGACAAAGTCTCACTAAGTTGCCCCGATTGGCCTTCAACTGGTGATTCTTCTACCTCAGCCTCCTGAGTATATCAGGGTGATAGGCATGTACCTTGAAGGCTGGTGAAAAGTCATTTACTGTATACCATGTTCATCCATCCCCCAGCATGCTCTGGGAGGGCAGAAATTAGGTTTACCTGGCTCATACCTGTACCTGTTGTGCTGATGCCTAGAACATGCTAGTAATAAGGTTTGTTAAATGAACCAACAGATTTATCCTGCCTGTAGTTCATAAAAAGTATCAAGCACTTAATAGGTGCTCAGAAAAACATGCAACAGTAACTGCTGGCTAAGCCTTAATTGTTGCTTCTGAGCTGAGTCCTTTACCTACATTGTATCAGTCTTCACAAGGCCTCCAGGTAGGGATCACTAAGATCCTACTTTTACAGGTGTGAAGCTGGATCTTAGCAAGATCAAACCATTTTCTTTTCAAGGTCACAGAGCTGGCAAATTAACCCAGATATAAAACCAGTCAAAATCAATTTTTAACTGACTCTCTACCATATAGTGAACTTGCTTTTACCTGCATTTGGATTTATACAACTTTGTAATTTTAGGAAATTTTTTTTAAGTCTTTTTATTTATTTTGGTATGGGATCTCTCTATGTAGCTCCGACTCATAATGATCCTCCTGAATCAGTCCAACTTTGTAATTTTAGACAGATTTAGGTGGGTAGCTCCTATATGTGTCCTGGGCCTCAGGCGAGGTAGATGGTGCTAGATACTTAGTGTATCACTGTACGCATTGTGATACAGTTCCCAGCCTGAGGACCTCGGTTTCATAAGAAAAACAAAATCTGAGAGCACAATAGAATGCACTGCTCCTTGATGCAAATATTCCTCCCCTCCCCCTCAAAAGAACCTCAGCGCCTGGAGAACTTCCTTCTTAAGTCATTTCCCTGGACCATGCATCTGCCGCACAGGATTCTGCTTATCACTACCTCAGAAGAGCTGAGCAACCATCGTCTACTGAGTACCACAAAGTGACTTCTATATGTGGACTTCTTACAACCCTGAGGTGGGTCTCATTATTTTTACCTTACACATAGGCAGTCAACAGATACTGGGGTGGGGGAGTACAAATGGATGAGGACAATACAGCATCTGCTGAGAGGGTGCGATCACAAATACTAGGACAGGGGGATACCCAGAGAGACCCAAAGTATGCAAAGTAAGTTACTCTTGATCTCCTTAAATATTTAACACTGTGACAAATACAGGCCCAACCCTTTCTAGCTAAACATTCACTAAATCATGTATATTTCACTTTGTAAAATACCTTAACAGTATCTTTACGCTGGGGGGGGCACACATAAAGACGTTTCCATTTTATATTTTTACCAAGATTAATATGTAACAAGCTTTTCTGTTTTTGTAATTGGGGCTTCCATATATTTCATATTTTCCTAATAAAACTACTTGTCTTCAAGGATTATTGGTTTTTAAATTTAGAATTATTCTTAAATGACCCAATCCTCCCCTTTCATAGAAACACATGAATATGCTAAGTAGTATTTTTATTTTTCAAAAAATCATAAGACTCTGGCAGCCAGCGAGTTGTGAAAGCCTGTGAAGAAAGCCTTCCAGAAAATAAAGCTGTGACTGTTCCACATGAATGCACAAGGCCACCTCTATAAAAACTCTAAGACAAAGACTGTAGTACCTTACCCTAAATAAGAGTAGAAAATATTTGGATCGCTCCTGGGTATTTAAAAGCAAGCTACTTCCTGCCCTGAGGTGAGCAAGAGACACCTGGCAGTCCTCTCTGGGGGGACTCTACTCCCACCAGCTGTGGTAGGGATGAGGAGAAAGCCTCATATAGTGTGTGAAGTCAGAGAGATACTTTATGATCAAAATGTACTCCTATTTCCCCCAGGTTACTAAAATGACAATTGGCTTCAGAGAGATGAAGATTCCTGTGGATTTCAGAGCGCAGTGCTTTTCACAGCACTATCAGAGTCCACTTCAGTCCCAGCACTGGGGTTCATGGCCTTTGCTAACCGCCTACCCACAGTAAGGGAAGTGTCACACAGTGGGACTCCCTCCCCATCTGGTTCACCTAGAAAACCATCCCAAGGAATTTTAAAAAGAGGACATTGATTTGTTTACTTAGTTATGGCACCACTGGGCACGGAACCTGAGCCTTACTCACTGAGCTACAGCCCCAGCAATTTTCATTTTCTAATTTGAAACAAGGTTATTTTTTATTTTGAGGCAGGATCCTGTTAGGTTGCCTCAGTGGAGCCCAAACATACGATCCCCCATCTCATCCCTTTAGGTTAATAATTTTACTAAACGTGCTAAAATTATGCAGAGTCCACATGACCTCATTAGCTCCCAAGTGAGACTCTGCAGCTGCAGAGAACAAACTAAAGTTTCCTCTCGCCTGTGATCCCTATCTCACAATGACCCTAGAAATCTAGAAGTTCACTGATGCTATTTTGCCTGCGAATCCCCTATGACGGGCAACCAAAGACCTACAAACTCAAGGGCCACAATTCTCAGGAGTCTCAAAAGAACCATCTAGATAAGAAACATGTTTGTGTGGAACGGACTGAAATAAATAGTATATAATGATTTTGAGGCTGCAAAAATTGAGTCAATGTATCCTTTGGCTTAGCCCTGGATTTTTAATTGTGAGTAATGTGCTATCAAGGTCAATGCGACTATGAGAACTACATCCTGCTCAGTTTTAACTCTAGCATTATGCCCTGGAAGATGACAGACCACAGAACAACTCCCCTATGTTACATCTGTGGCAAAGCTTCTGTAAGAATAAATTTCCTCTCCACTTCGACAGAGTCTGACTTCTTCCTCTAAGGCACAATAAGCACAGGGCCTTAAATGCGAAAATTTCAAGGACCTTTGACAATATTCTGCATTAAAAAATCTGAGTAAACGTAATAAGATAACCTTTGTATCAATGCAATCAGAAGAGTCTGTGTGTGTGTGTGTGTGTGTGTGTGTGTGTGTGTGTGTAAAGAAATGATCCATTAAAGCAAAAGGCCTCAGGGCCTCTGAAAGATGAGAGGGCTGAGGCAGGAGGATCACTACCAGTTCCAGCTTAGCTTGGGCAATTTAGCAAGATCCTATCTCAAAAAACTTGAAATAATCCTGCCTTACAATAGAAAATAAAACTTGCTGCCGATGTAGCTCAATGGGTAAGGCTCTGGGCCTCATCCCCCAGGTTGCCATATCTAACTAAATAAACAAACCTCCTCTTCATGAAATGATTCGGAATGGTTTCCTAGGTATGTCAGAAATCTCCTTCACCAGCCAGGGAAAGTTCTGACTTCACCTCACTGAAAGACATTTTTTTACCTGATTCTCCGGAGAAAAGTGATTTCTGAGGTTTTGTTGTTTTTTTTTTTAAATGAGCATCTACTCCAGCAGTAAGTTCCCTCCCCGCAGCGAATTTTTAAGGAGAACTGGAGGGCAGAAGAGGACCGTGAGCCAGCGAGCTAGCGAGCGAGGCCGGCCGCAGCCCGGAACGCAGCAGCCGCCTCCGGGCCTCCGCGCCGCGTCCCACGGCTGCCGGCAGGGGGCGCCCGGCC